AACATTATTATTATTTAGGTCAAGAAACTTACCACCACAATATATTATTTGCTTTGCTGAAGATACGACAGTTGTATCCATTATTATTTTATTATTATTTGGGAAAATTTTTGCAATTTTTAATTTTATAAAAATTTCAGGGCCCAAAAGTTTTTGCCCTAAATCACACTACATGACAAAAGTCTTGCACAAAAAGTTATGCATACTTTTAGATATACATAAAAATAAACAATTCTTTTTTATTTAATAAAACACTTTTGTGGTCGGAAATTAAACAGTATGGTTTAATTGTCCATTTTGATATCAGAGGGATATAGAACTCTGAGGTTTTGTAATTCGAGTCTTGGTTATTTGTTCTAGTTAAGAAAGCAAGGGTTTAGTTATGGGTATTTGTTTAAGTGTAAACGTAAGGCATTAAGACTGATTGGCCAAAGTATTAAGTGTTAATTAATATTATGTATATTTTACCTATACAGTTGGTTCTGAAAATACAAATGGAAAACCGTAATAGTAAATGAAAATAATAATAAATAAATAAATATCTCCATAATTAAATCCCGTAAAGAATTTCGGCTACCATAAACATAATTATTGACTATTACTATACTTACAGAAGTTTTAAAATTTTTACACCACTCGCCTATTTTCTTGCCGAGCTAATAATAACATACAACTCGGTTAAATTGCTATTAAGCCATAATTTTTTACCTGCCTCAATAATCTGAATTTTATTTTAACAATCAGACACATTTGATCTTTAATGCACAGATAAATGTTTTGTAATAGATAATTACGGAGCCAACAGTAATCACGGGAGCAAATCATCTTTACGGTGTAGCAGCCAAAATTTATTTACGGAATTACGGTTTTTAATATTAATATTAAATTATTCTTCCCGTAATTAATACTATTATTATTATTTTTAAAACCGTAATTCCGCAACAATTATAATTACGGAATTACGAAGCCAACTATCATTTCACCATGTTCTATTTTTTTTTCAGTAAAAAAATTAAAATTTTAGATGAGATAAATTATTATGTGCGTTTTACACTTAACCATCTTTATGGATCGTAAATTGAGGTTCAATGGGGTCCCAGTTATTATATTTATATCCAATGGCACCATCAACGACACGATCTTGAGGAATTTAAAGTCGTTATTTACAATGATCAATTATCAATCAATCAATCAATTAATAGAAGCAGCAAAACTAGAACGTGAACTTAAGAAAAAGATGGTACAAGTCTTTATCTACATATACATATATACATTCACAAAATGAATGTAATTCTAATGTGAATATATAAATATATGTAATAGGCATCTAAAATAATAATCACACGTATTGCAAGAAATAAACGAAAAAGTGTCACAAATGTTTATGGCTTACATCATTTTGGTAATTTATAGATTTGTTTTAAGTCTCAGAAAGAGAGAGGGTGAGATATTTATTTACTTATTCCATTTATTCAGATATTGAATTGAGAAAAGCGGCAAAACTGTTTGCAAATAAATTTGCATGCGGATCATCTGTTGTGAAAAATAATCAAGGAAATGAAGAAATTGTTGTTCAAGGAGATGTTTCTGATGATTTGTATAGATTCATTTTGGATACATGGCCGAATGTAATTATTATTCATTTTATTATATCTTGTTTATTTTATAAATAACTAAATAATATAATATAAATTATAATAATATAAATTATTAATTAAATATAAAAATAGGTTCCAGAGAAAAATATTGAATTGACTGAAGAAAAACCAAAAAAATAATTGACTTGTTATTTAAATTATTTAAAGAAAATAGTTTTTATGTAAATAATTTTCTTATACACAATAATAAAGATACCGTTTCATTGCTATTATTATTATTATTATTATTATTATTACCGTCATTACTACTACTATTGTCATTATTATCATCACTACTGCATCACTAAAGTCTATCTTTAATTCTCTATAATCTTCATTTGAATGGTCGTCCAAACATTGGTATCTAGTCGTTGATTGGAACCAACGCAATGTTGAATCAATTGGTCATTTCGCCATGAATGCTGTTGGAATTTCTAAATAATAAACTGGCCAGGAATTAGTTGGTAATTTTGGTGGTGAATTACTCAATGCCACAATTTGCTGTCGATAGTGCGTTTTATTTTCGTCGCTTCTTTTTCATTATTCAATATCATTATTCACCATATAAGAAGATAACTGGGGCAATTAGCCCAAAAGGCGTAAATTAGATAAGCATTTCAATATTTTTTCTTTCATTAGGATCATCGGGATCGATGTAGGAATATTACCGTCGGCCAATGTTTACTTTAATTAGTATTAGGGTAAATCGTCATTTGTGATATTGCTCAAATAATCAGGAACTTCCCAGTCACAGATAGCCTTGACTTTCCGACCTTTTTGTTGGACGGAAGTTGATCTTGTTGTTGCTGTTTATCAAATTTCTTTTTTTTTATTATTTAACTAGAATTTTTGATGTTGAATTTTCTACCTGTTTTCTAAGAATATGGCCGCGTAACAATTCTTTCTGATCGTACACCGCCAGATCTTACAAGAATACATCATAATTAATATATCATAAAAAAGTAGAATAAGATAATAATCTTTAAATCTAATTAATTATATATTTTGGTTGATAAAAAAACAAACTTAGCTTTTTTGTTGTTATTTAATCCTTTCCTTCTGTGAATATCTGCATCCATTAAATATTCATGATAATTATTCAATACATT